TATAGTTCTCAAAATTCTGGATTATTAGAGAATGATTGATTATATTTTTTAATTTATTTTATTTTTTTCAAATATTTTTTTGTAGTATAAATTTTTTTAATGTATAATTTTTATGAGAAAATTATTTCTAAAATTAAAATTGTGGCAAGGACAAATAATTCAGAAATGGCTGTTCACTGTTACTATCAATTATATATTCTATTTTCATCATTCCATAAAATTATCTTTCTTATAAATTTATAAAATTTTTGAATTTTTACCATAGTTTTTATTTTTAATTTATTTTCTTTTAATTAATAACTTTTAGTATTTGTCAATTAATTAAAATTCACATTATTCAACTTAAAAAAAAATTGAATGTCAATCTTTACTTCAAAGATTATTTCAGATCAAATGACAAATAACAAGTTTATTTGAGAATGTTTCAAGTTACTTGTATAATGAAATCAAGTTAATTGATGATTTGAGTACAAGTTTGAAAGAATATTTCAAATTAAATAAATAACACGTGTATATTAATATAATATAATATCAAATCTTTTAAATTCAAGTAATTTGAATGAATCTGAATGCTTGAGAAATGCCATTAAAAAATATTAAAATATTAAGTATATATCACTTTCTATGATTGTTTGAATATTTTACAAATTCTATCACACACAAATATACAAATATTAACAAATGATTAAATAAATGTAGATTATACAAATCAATCTCTTTTTTAATACAAAATTTATATTTTTAAGAATTTCAAGAAATATGTAAGAAATGTTATATAAAATTAAGAAAACAAATAAATTAAAATTTATTAGTTCAAATTTTTAGTTGATTAGATTTTTTAAGTTCAAAAAACATGATACATAAATTAATGTTTTAAGATCTTATGTTACATGTATATTATATATTACATCTGTCATCAACCAAAATCATTATAAATTTGAAATAATATTGAATTGATTAAGAAAATCTACATATATATAATAAGAACAAAAGAATAATGAAATAATATTTTTCTTATTAATATAATAATATAATAGTGATAGAAAATTTATCTCTATGAAATATACCTTCAATAATATGTAATTGTAACGTTCAAAAGATTAATAATAAGTACTTCTTGTATATTTCTGATATCTCCAATTTGGCAGAAACTTCTTAAAATTATCCAAGTATTCAAACGATATGTTATATATTATACATATTATATAATTTTGATATAAGATCGATCGTCATTCCATGAACCTGATGTAAAAAGATAAGATATTGATAAGATATAACATTTTACAGATATATGTAAATCGCAATCGAATCATCGCGATGCATTAATTTACAATAATGTATGCTTATTGTGGTTCTTGCCAGTGAAACGAAACATTTAGTCGGCATGGATATTGAGGTCAGTGGTTTGTTCATCCTATCGTTAATGACGATTCCAGTGTCGAGACACACAGCTTCGAACAGCAAGCATGAGCGAGTGATTCCTTGCGTAACCTACAAACAGAGACTCCGGCTGTATGCCATACTATCGAGTCATCGAGAGTCGCAGAGTTCACAAAACCATCGAAGTCGTGTTGCTGGCCCGTTTTCTGTGCCCGGCCCATTATAATGTATACAGCTTTCGCAATATATTCGCGAGGTATTTCGCTTGCTCGACGCGTTTTCGACTTTTCGTTTTGCAAGAGACGAGTCGCCACAACCGATCGCGATCCATCGTGGAATCAAGGAATCGTCACTTTAATTTAATCCTACTTCTTATTAAAATTGATATTGATTTAAATCAAGTTATATAGTGTGTTTTCGTCATATGTTGTTATATAATTTTACTTTCAATTTTATTAAGAAGTCCAATTTGAAATCAGTGAAGTGAATAATTTTACACCAATATGTCATTATTTGCTTGAACTGTCTTTTGTCGTTGCTACTTGTCGTTTTCTACAACTGTTGTTATCAAGAAAAATAAAATAAGGCTAAGTTAGGTTGAATCTCTAACAAAAAAAGTCAGTAGAAGTATAATGCTAACTTTTTAATAAACTTTTACACAATGATTATAAAAAACTGAGGTTAAGAGTATATTATTTACTATGTTATATGAGCTCTTAACGTGAATAATATGCTCGGAATTCCACTGAAGAGAATTTTTCTTATGAACCTAATAAAACGAGCAATTTTACACTGAAACAATATGTACATCATAAATTTCTTTAAATATTTAAATTATTTGTTTTTCGTTAAATGTTTGAACTCTGTCTTTCTCTAGCCGCTATTTCTGTGATCGTATTGTCGATATGCAGATAAAACGAGGTTGAGTTATAGGTTAGATTTTAAGTTTCTAAAGAATAAATTATATTTTCTACCAATCTATGTAATTTTCATCAAATCTTTAACAATTTAACAAATATAATAGTGATTTTTTAATAAACTTTTGCAAAATAATATTAAATTTAATGATATGATTTTACAAATATATGATCAATAGATATTTTAATATAAAATTTAACACTTTTCCCTTATTAAAAGATTATAATTAGAAAAAAAAATTTTTATAAGTGAATTCATTCAACAATAATCATAGAAAAAATAGATTTATTAGACAAATTATCATCTATCTACTGTCATTAAATAGTATCATCTGTATTTCTTTAAATCCTTACCTTGAACAAAAGTTCATTAAGAAGTCAACTTTACATTTCAATTTTACATATCTTATATCATTGCTCTTTGAATATAGTTAATTTGATAATTACATATTTATTATCAAGTCAATCATTATTCTAATCATCTTCCAAGAACAAATTCTAATATATAGAGAGGATATTTAATTCACATTATGTGAAATTCCTTAGGCAATATTTGCCAATTTTTTGACATAATTCCTCCAAAGCAAATAATCTTGATTTCTGGTTTTTTTCCTTGATTCTGAAACAAAAAAGATGAAACGGTAAGTTAGTTAGACAGTCTCGAAGATTCCGCGTTCGTGTACAAATCGGTGACCAACTATCCGATGATAAATGACGACATCCATTCAAGTTCGTTCTCGATTGGCCTTGACGAGAATTCTCTCGACGACCGAGTTGTATTGAAAGCGAAATTCAACGGGTTACCAAACCATCCGCCGCAGCTTAGAGAGTATGAGTATATAGATACGACGCTGTCCACTCGGTTTCAGGGACGTGATTAATCATTCTGGGCGCCCACGGTATAGAAACAAACAATTATCTTCTTATATCTACCTCTCTTTTCGGTGTCCTCTTTTCTGTGAATCATTTCGCGAGAAAATCGCTTCGACGAATCCTTGAATCATTCATCATTTAATACTGATTTTTGAAAATTAGTTAATCCAAAATTTCGAAGAAAAAATTCTAATCTCTTCTTTTAAAAAAGATATTAAATATTTAAAAAATTTGTAAATAAATTGTAAAATCTTATATAAAAAATAAATTTTTTCGAATAAAATTGTTTAGCAAATAAAAATTCAATATATAGAATTTATATATGAATATAATGTATATTTTTCGTAAAAAATAACTCGAAAAATTCGTAAATAAAATTCATATTTCAAGCATTCAAAACAACTTTAATAATTTTTTTTTTCAAATTTAAAAGGACATATCAAATGCTTGGTATTGGCAGATTATAACATACATAATTATTTCGAGTTGCACATGGCAATTAAAGTTTAAATAAATTTAATATTTCTACTTAAGTAAAGATTTTTCACTGAAGAATAGAAGAAAATGAATATTTTGTTTTGCTTTACATGTTGCTTATATGTTGCTTTGATATTAAATAAAATATAATATTTTTAGATAAAATATAACAAATACAAATAAAAAGTTACTACTCTACAAACTACAAATGGGTTCTTAATAGATATTGCATTTTTAATTAATAGTTGGTTAATATAGATACCAAAGTTATCGATTGCAATTGCCATGAATCATCAGATGTTTTGACTATGATGTTTTGACTATAATTGCAAATGAAATTCGAGTGAATTCTTATTGGAAACGACGAAGTCGTGGACATAGCGGTTCAAGGCCGTGCCGAATTCATGGTCGTCTCGTAAATTGCGCGAGAACGCATCGTGTAATCCATAACAAAAATTATGTGGCCCTACTTTCGTAATCGAACATACGCAGTGAATTTCGGATCGGGATTTGAACAATTTTGGTCGTGAACGCGCATGCGCGAAATCGCTTCTCTAATTCAATGCCGATGCCGAAAATCATGACATAAATCGACATCATTTTATGTAACCTAACCTTTACATCAATGTTAAGTAATATGTCCTCGTTCACGCGTAAAACAAAAGGACTATATTTGGTTCAAAACCGACTATTTTTGAATCGATTGAATTTGTAATTGAAAATGTAATTATCTACATTAATAATTCATTTGAATTTTAATAATATCATTCTAGTTTAAAACGAAAGACTAAACCAATTGATTTAAAACGTTGTAAAATTAAATTTGAGTTAATTTAAATTTTACAACATAAAAATTATCCTATATTATCTTATATTTTAGATCTTGCAAAATATAACTCTAAATCATTATTGGTAATTTTTAATTTATATTAAACTTATGTTAGATTAAGTTGAGTTAGATCAATTTATTTATATTTTATAAAAATATAATGTTTTTTTTTAATTTCTTCAAATTGAAATCTTGCGTTGTAGTGAAATAAAATTAATTACAACATATCTCCATGAAATCTATTCTATCATAATATAAAATAATGAATAATGAATATAAAATAAGAATAATAGAATTTTTTACATTGTTAATCATATCTAAACGAAAAAACAATAATGCAAGAAATATTAAGCTTTTTGAAATTTCTTTTCAAAATTATACTTAAATATTATACTTAAACTTATCTCTTTCAATAATAGTTTATTTTAATAATTGAAATCTGATTTTTTTTTTAAATAACGAACTTTTTTTTTATGCCTCTTCTCTTCATAATAATAATAATCGTTTCATTTTTATCATTTCAGGAACTCGCTTATTTCGTCCTAAAACTTTACATTCTTACGACCTCAGGAAGATATATTGCAAAGGTTTTCTCGGCAAAAAGCAAGAAAAATGTCAATTGTAATGCAATATGTGGATCGATTCCACGAAATACTTGACAAACATGCAGGTAAGCCTTCAAACATTATTTTTATGTAGAGCATAGTCATTCACCTTTCAAGTCTGGTGAACGAACCTTAAAACATTGAGAAATATCCGAGGGACGATCACCGACCAGTGACTGGGAGCAATTTTATTAAACAGGAACAGGAAAGATTCAGCCCTCTCCCTTTCTATTCAATTCTCGCCTTTCCGCTTTCGTTTCACTTTTCACCTTGATCTAATTATAAACTACCAAGACTGCCAATAACAATTTGATTTTTTTTATTGCTTGTAAATTATGAAAAATTAAAATTGAATAATCATTTTCTAGCAATGAAGAAAAACTTATCAACTTATTTTTCAGATTATTCACGTATAAAAAATAATTTTTGTAAAATTGATTTTTGAAATAGTGTTAAAAATTTCAAAGTTTTAATTTTTTGTTTTTCTTTTTTTCTTAAAAATATATTTTAAAAATTATATTGTTGTTATTCTTTGATTTTTATTTAAAATAAAAATAATATTTCTATTAAAAATAAGAATAATAATTTTATATGATTTTTGACAGATATAATTCAAAAATTATTATATTCTTATTGATTATATTCAGATTTTAATCTGTACATTACTATAATTTTTGTTGGATAATGAATAGCAAAAATTTTTCCTCTGAATTTTATTTAATATTATATATATTATATTATATTATTCATGGCTCATCGAAACTTAAGAATCTTATTTTTTTCTTTCATCAAGCATGTATACTTAAAACGTATATAAAAACATTATTTAAATTGAAACATTTCACAATAATGTTTTGGATATAATGACATAACAATAACAAAATGTTAATAATAAATAAGATATCAATATACATTTAATTAATTTAGGTTGCCATAAGAATGAAAGAAAATAGAATTCCAAGAAATAATGTAGAAAGAATTAAATATATAAATATAAAAATTGCATTTTAATCATTTATTAATATTTGCTTATATATATATATATATTTCTAAATGCAAAAATTGCATAAAAAATATATAAATAAAGATTAGTAATATGTGATCAAATTAATCAATATATAATTAAGATTAAAAATTGCATTTTAATATTATCCATTAAGATTTACTTACAATAGAAAAGATACATCATTAATTGCAGAAATTACGTGAATAATATATGTATAATTAAAAATTAATAATATATAATTATAATTATTATATAATTGAAATTTACAATAATAATGGCATTTTAATATCATATACTAATATTTGTTTGCAACAGAAAAAGATACATCTGCAATGCAAAAACTATACAAATAATATGTAATTAAATGTACAAATTACAAATGTTCACTATTCTCATACGATGTAAATCATAAAAGTAAATGAAACTAAGAGTAAACGAATAAAATGTGCACATTGTTCTTTGACGTAATCATATAGTATACACAAGCAATACAATATGGAAATAGGAATAAAAATTAAAATCGTTTCAGCTTAATTTTTTTTTTTAATTTAAAATAATAAAAATATTTTTTAAATTTCAAATAGTATTCAAATTAATAATAAAATAATAATAATAAATCTTTCATAAAATTTTATAGTAAATTTTTCAAAAAGAAATTATATTTATCAATTTTAATCTTAATAGAAGTAGAAATTTCACAGAAATTGCGCAAGCATTGATCTCGCATTTTTTAAAATTATCTTTCAATCGAATAGATTATCTTATAAAAGAAAATATAAAAATTAAAAAAAAAAAATGCAAACTATTTCTAAATTTATATTAATAGCAACAAAATTATTGCTAAATAGAAATAATCTTATTGTGAAATAATTAAATTTCATATGATTTTTTAAAAAAAATTCGTTTCGTCATTTTCTCTCATCTTAAAATATATCGATATCTTTCATAACATCGTTAACTTTCGCCACTTCCGAGTTATGCGTTTTTGGACTTCAATCTTCGCTTCATAGATGGCATAGATTTTAAATCCGTCTTTATCGACAGTTTCGTATTTAGATCGAAAGTTTTTAATTGTTATTCATTCATTATCATTGAAACTTTGTCGAATTTAGAATTTATATTTGTATAATAATCGTTAGAAATTAATATAAAAATTAGTTTCGCAATATACGCAATTTTATAGAAACTTAATACGAGGGATAAGGAATTATGGAATTCCAGACATTCACATTTATTTACTTACTTTCTTCTCACGTAACATTTCCAGAGGCAATTGAGAAACCTCCCACGTATATTAGGTTATGTGCATATAAAACTGGATTGGACATTATTGAAGTGAATTCATATCCATATAATTATTCAAATAAAATTTTTGTTCTATTTTTTATTTGTTATATTATTTTACTTTAAATAATAATATTTGAAAAATAAATTATCTTAATATTTTATTTTTTCATGTCTAGATATTTAATTTCATTATAAAAAGATGAACAAGAATATTTTATGATACGAATATAGAGATCGGAGATTTCGACGAACACACGAGCAGAAAGGAAGGATAAAATTACCTAGAATTTTATTGTGGTTAAGCAAACGTCATTCGTCGTGATGCAGCAGTAGACTGCATCGAAGATGAATTATTCATTTCACGTGGTCAGTGGAAGCAGCCGCCGATTTCGAGAAAGATTTTTAAACCATCTCCAATATTAAATACGCAGATACGAATTCATATTCTTCAATTCGCCGAATTTAATTTCAATTTGCAAAGTTTCCATATCTAATAGAATATCACCATCAAGATTGTCAACTTTTTTTTTTTTTTTTTAAGTTCTTTCTCATTTCTGAATACTTTCAAAGAAATTATTTTTTCTGTTAAAATCTTTTAATTCAGTCGAAACTTTAATAAATCTCAGAATTCTTTCAGATTTTTTTGAGAATCTAAAATATTAAAAAAAAGAGTTGTTAAAAACATGAATGAATCTGTGAATGATTGTCTACACAAAAAATTGCTCGCAAGAAAAGCATAAGATTAAGCATTATTATTTTTTATTATTTTTTTTTCCAATCGTAAATTTTATTAAAAATATTTCGAATGCAGAAATGAGCAGATACGAAATTTCAATTTTGAATTCATCGAATTTAATTGCAGTTTGAAAAATATTTAATGGAATTTCGCCATCAAGATTATCGACTTTCGTCGTATTTTCATCTTAGTTTTTGATTTCACTTTTTTTTCCATTTCGCGACAAGCATCTGAAAAAATACGACGAAATCGCATCAAGGTCGATTGGTCATTAAAACCGACAAAAGATTGAATTAATAGAAGATATTTTATAACTGGTTTGTATAATACGATAGCACGTTAGTTGATTAAACTTTGAAGGATGAAGAAGGATATCGAAAAAAATTTAAATCTCAAGGTCGAGGTTGTTACTTTTACGATTGGAACATTATTTTTTTCTTAGTCTTTTATTTCACTTTTAAAATTAAATATAAATAACCTTGAATACTTGATGAAGAACACAAAGCATAACCTTCATAGTTATAATCATTTCGTCCTAGGGAAATTAGATACTTAATAATATCCCATTTTTAAAGAAAAGCCAAAACAAAAGGAATATTTTTCTAATCTAATCTTCTAACTATGATCATATCAAATTTTATATAAATTTCTATAGAGTTGAATAAAATAAAGAATATTAATTAAATCAATAATATTAAGTCAAAAAAAAATAAACTAATATCTAAAAAAAATTATTATACAATTAGTGTTGTCAACAGTGGCATATCTTTTAGATTATATGATAATAGTTTTTAGTTTCAGTTAATTATATATAATAGTAAATAACAATACAAAAAACATATACACAACATTACACTTATTAATATTTTCATGTAATTATGAAAATTTGACATGGTGAAATATAAAACTTGATAAAAACATCAAACTTTATTAAAATTTTCTGAAAAATAAGATTGTGCACAAATTTTGTTGTTGTTACTGTATCTTTTTCTATATTCAATTTTTGTTAATCAAACCTAATCTGTTGAAATAGAATCTGTATCTATAATATATTTTTCAGATCAGAGAACAACGAATTGGTTTATGATGAGTTCACCATTCCCTACTCTGTTTATCTGCTTGAGCTACGTATATGGTGTAAAAGTTTTAGGGCCAAAGCTGATGGAGAATAGGAAACCATTTCAATTAAAAAATGTCCTAATAGTTTATAATCTATTCCAAATGGTGTTCTCAGCGTGGCTTTTCTACGAGGTAAGGTTCCTGCTTCGATCTTTCTCCCTCCATCCCTGCTTTCTTTTCTTTCCTCCACTTTTACACTTTTCTCCACAATATCTGTTATATCGAATATTTAATACTTACGTGTCGTCTTACGAAAAATTTTTTTTTCGATTTTAAAAATGTGTTGCATGCTTTGAAATGCCACTTGTACATAAGCACACACAAATAAAATTTTGCTCGTATATCGGAATGTTAGACGAGGAATCACGAAATAAAGGTTCGTGTTGTATCATGAATGATTTCTGCAAGAACGTCCGGGTTTGACCACCGAGTTCGAAATCACGCGTGATCAATGGAACAATGTAATTTATAATTGAACCAGAATTTAGAAATCGATTGATCAGCACCATCGAAACTTTAATTACAATAGTGTCTGATCATATAGCCAGGCTTAGCCATGTCGTAAAGAAGTTATGAATTGAAGTTTGTCAGAATTGGCGTTTATTTCACTTCAGTTCTACCGTGCTGCATCAAGGCTAAAATAGAGAAATAAATGGAATGTGAGGTAAGTATATAATAATTGCGTAAAGTCAGACTTACTTTTTAATAATTTAAATGTTAATGGAAATACAAAATTATATTTGATATTGTTTTAATAACAAATCTTAATAAATTCGACTCGAAGGATATTTTGAATTGATACAATTGAAAAGTATTAAAGATTATATTTTCTTTATTCTGCTGATTTAATAATTATTACTTAAATCATCTCGATGCAAATTATAAATAATACTTGAGTCTGTCTCGAATTTTATGATTTTAAGAATTGATGAGAATATTTCTAGCCATATAACAAAATGAATTTATGATCATATATGCAGACACTACTGTATTTGTTTTTTTTAAATATTTAAATACTAACTACACGTTATAGTATCAAAATTTAAAATTTCTCAAAACGTGAAGTTGATCATCAATTTAGAAATGATCACGTTTAAATTTTTACGTTTTTTTTTTTTTCCAATATACATCTTCTGCAAATTGATTTATTATATGCAAAATTAATAATAATAAGTTTTTTTATTGATTCAATTTTGAATTTGAAATTACTTTTGATTTCGTAATATTAAAAGAATGATTATTTTTTGATAACAATAAGCAAATAGAGCACACGATTTATGGATTTATTATTGTTTCATTAGATTAATAGATGCAAGAGGGGGACAGATGCGAATCTACATTCTTATTAAACAATATGGTCCAAAAATTTAATTAATAAATCGCTTGCTTTCACCCTTTGCACCTAGCTTACACAATACAAATGCAGAATTACACATAACTTAAAACAATTAACAAATTACCAAAATTGATAGATATGCCCTCCTCTTACTGCTCAATTAATTTTGCTTGGAAGATATCTTTGGAAAAATGATGTTTATTTATATCATATATTTCGAACTCGATCGGTTAACTTCCTATTAACGCAGAAAAAAAAGGTGCAAGATAAAACATTAATTGTGTAACCGAAAAAAAAACAGAGTCTGATGGGCGGATGGTGGGGCCATTATAGTTTCCGTTGCCAACCTGTGGACTATAGCGACAATCCAATCGCGATAAGGGTAAGTTTTGGTATTTATAGTTTCCTCAGCAGATGGATCATCGACCGCCATTTCAACGAGACGGACCTCAATAAATGCTAAATTTTATTCTTTAACGATTTTCATATGCGTATACGTATCTTTCAAATTTAGTGTGCAAATAATTCTTTTTCTAAATTTAAAGTATCGGTGGTATCGTTTTGATATATATATATATATATATCAATTTTTACATGTTACGTTTGTATTAACGTTCTAATATTATGATATATTTTTTTATCAATTATATAATATTATTTTTCCTAATATTATATTAATTTCCTTTCTTGACGATTCAAATCAAAATAATTTACAACACCAATTATGATCCTTAATTGATTTTCAAAATGTGATTTGGTGTTTGATTGATGTATCATTACTACGCCGTATTGATAACGTATACGCATATTTCGACGATTAGAAATACATTTTTAAGGGTCATGGATTGTAGAAATTGAAGAATTTGTGCTATGATGCAAATTATCTTATGCTTTGTAGGCAGCCAACCAAGGGAGGAAACCGCCTTTGAAGGAAGAGTAAATTATACTATTCCGCTTGTTGCTTTTTTTTTTTTTATCTTTATTTTCATATCTCTATATTAGGGTATTGATATATATTTCTGGAATATCTTTGAAAATTCTATTCTAGAGATCAAAACGAATATAAAAGTTATATATACAAAAATTTTGATTATTATTCTATCTAATTAAGTTAAAAAAAAAAAATTAATTTTTGTATTATTTTAATCTCTAGTATCGATCTTCCAAAAGTGTCCCACAAATATATTTATTTTGGTACATGTTTCTCTTTCTCATTCTCTCTCTCTCTCTCCTCCAGCATACACAATCACATCCTTCATTTGTGCTAATAAAATATATGTATATTTTAGCATGTTTGCATGCACATCAAAGATGTCACTATTTTCAAATTTTTTTTTTTTCCATTAAATGCATCGATATCGAGAGTTAAATCGGTAAATATCGATTTGCACGAGCTCGATATCCAGGTGAATTAATCATTTTGATTCGAAGGAGAAAATCTTTTGGGGGAAAAAGATTAAAAAAAAAATTAGGTAAGAATATTGTTCTGGAGTTGCAACACGTGCATTAATGCAATAAACTTCACTTCAAGTGTCGAATACTTTAATCTTTCGTTTTAACGCACACAAATCGTCCAATTATTTTATCACAACATTTAGCACGATTAGTTTTTCTTATGAAAATTATGCACATGCGCACGCCCCCTTTCTTTTCTGAGCCTTTCTCTTTCGTTTATTTATTCTTTTCATTGATCGGAGAATGGCCTCTGGGCGGTTGTGGTTGCAGATAGGAATGTCCGGATGGCTGACTGGCGACTATTCTCTAAGGTGCCAACCCGTAGACTACAGTGATCGACCCCAAGTACTAAGGGTGGGTGATATTCCCCATTAACACGCAAAAATTACACTAAATACAATCTCTCCATTTTTAACAGTACATGATTAAACTATCAATTATTTATTATTACAGGAAAAAAAATTTTAAATAGTTTGAGACATTAAAAAAAAAAAAAAAAAAAAAAAATTGTTCCTACAAGCAAACACCATTTGATTTGAAAATATTATTTCGTTTAATATTTAAATCGAATATTGCTCGAAGATATTATTTTTAGGATCGTTCTTAGTGGGTAATACAAAAGGTGCGGCCCCTAGACTAGAGATAAATATTGATATATCAATAATATAGTTAAGTTATCGATATTGAGTAAAAATAATTAAAATTTCATTAAAAACAGAAATTTCATTTTTTTAATTTTAATTATAATTAAAAGCTCTTTATATATTTTTATATGTAATATACGATTCATGTTATATTTTTATTATAAAGTCTTAAGGTAAAAATTTTTTTTATTCGAAATATTATTTTCTTACATTTCAATCAAATATTTATATTTGAAAGTGGTACTTATTTTGGAAATTAGTATTATATAAATTTATATTTAAAGTAAATATAAATGGTAAATATTATTTCAAGAAAAAAAAATTTATTTGCAGAATTTTGTGCAACACTAAGAAATAAAAATATTTCTATTCTTTTTCTATCTATTATTCGCAATTTTGTAATGTTAAAAGGGATTATAATATTCGAAATCTCGATAAGAATATAAAAAAAAAAAAAAATCTGATCAAAAAGATCAAAAGTTCGAAAAAAGAGTTTCTGAAGTGGATAAATAGTAATAAATATTTTTATTCTTAAAAGAAAATGAAATTCTGCGAATAAACTTTTCTTTCAAATAATATTTATATTAAAGAAATAGTTTCCCAATCGAAAAATCAGATTTCAACTTATATAGTTTATAAAAAAATTTTTATTAAAATTTGAAGATATAAAAATATTTCAAAATTCTAAATTTAAAAATTTGTTTAATTCATAAATTTAATGATTCAAATGTTATATATGTTTCGAATATAATCATATGTATTTTTTAACATTATCTTTTTGAAAATTTTTCTAACAAATTTCTGGGATGATTGAAAATTTTTATATTTTCCTTTCTATTACTAGTTTCTTCTGTTAGTATTATTCTATTTGTATTTATTTTTTAACATTATGCCATATGCCTATATGCCACTAAATTTCCTGTAGTATTTGAAAATATTGTAGTTAATTTAAACTAACATACTTTGAAACAAATGCTTCATGCAATTAATGCCATTTAACAAGTAGAAAACAAAGATTTAAAAAAAACAGACACCACTTACACGACGACAATTACATTGATTATCATGATTTACACAGATGCACAATACAAAGTTACGACTGTTCATCGACGTAAACTTATTAAAGGCAAATCTTTGGAAAATTGCAATTTTTTTTTTTTTCTTCATAATTACATCATCTATTTCATCATGAAAAAATCTTCTATTAAAAAATAGAATACGAAAGATAACGCTATATCTCCAAGGATTTGTATCTTTCACCATATTCGTGTCAAGAGCAACGTTAAAGTGATTATCTAATCGATATTTTTCAAAGAGCAGATGGTGCACGCTTGTTGGTGGTATTATTTCTCCAAATTTACGGAATTCATGGACACGGTATGTAAAATTTATAGATTGGAATTGAATATTTCATATCATAAAAATTTATTTGTTTATTCTAAATTTATCCACTAATCATCATCCTTGTAGATCTTCTTTGTATTAAGGAAGAAGAACGATCACGTGTCAATATTGCACGTTATTCACCATGGTTGCATGCCAATGTCAGTGTGGTTTGGCGTTAAATTCACACCAGGTAAGTGAAATTTCTTTATAGAATTAAATTTTATTTTAAAGTACCAATATTTTCTAAACTTTTTTTAATAGAGAAACGAAATATATATAATCGTTTTAAAATTGAAAATATTAATTGGATCAAAAGTTATCTAATTTAAATATATATATTTCATCTTTACTGATCAAATAAAAAGATATGATAAAAGTTTCGAAAAGCTCAGATTAGGTTAGGTTAGATATTCAAATAAACTATACAATATAAAGTTGATTGAATGTAAAAATAAGAATGTATAAATATGGTTTAAAAATATCAAATAATAGTTTTGAAACATCAAAATATTATGTCACAAAGTACAATTTAAAAAAAAATAATGTGGAAAAGAACGTGAAAATAAAACTTAACCTTTCTTTGTTATATTCTTTGTTATATATAATAATATATAATAATATATATATAAATTTGTTATATATTCTCTATATTCTTTGTTATATACGAACGTTTAATATCACAAATTTGTCATTTGATTATTTTCTTTTCTTTCTAGGCGGTCATTCTACTTTCTTCGGACTCTTGAACACATTCGTTCATATAGTGATGTATACATATTACCTTTTGGCCGCGATGGGTCCAAAATTACAACCATATCTTTGGTGGAAAAAATATTTGACCGTCTTCCAAATGATCCAATTTGTCGCGGTAATGATCCACGCGTTTCAATTACTCTTCATCGACTGCAATTATCCGAAGGCATTCGTCTGGTGGATCGGTCTACATGCAACTATGTTCTTCTTCCTGTTCAACGAATTCTATCAACAGAGTTACCAACAAAAGAAGAGGAAACAAACAATCACGAATGGCGTGAAAAAAGATCATCAGCAAAATCATCAAACGAACGGCATGACGAATGGAGCAATGGGCAATTCGTCCGGAAGAAGAGATGCAGCCGATTATTACGTGAAAGGCGACAGTCTAGCCGCCTCGGAGCTCAATCTTAGGAAATCGTATACAACGACCGAGTGACCCGATCATGCTACGTTGTAGCCATCATCAAATCATCTCGTCTTTTCTCATCGATTCCTCGAGTCGCATCCGGGCTTCGTTCCTTCGCCCTTCCATTCTAATGATCCTTCGGGTTCGAGTGGAGAAAACATTGAGTACAAAATTACTCTGCGATCGCGTTTGCGTGTATTCGTGAAAGGAGATAGAAAGTAAGAGGAAAAGAGTGATACGAATCAATGTACAAAGGTAGTCCCGGATGTGTTACGACTCCAATGTCACGGATCCCTGACCTCGTGATTCAGGTATTCGTGATTCTTTTTTCGGTTCGCTGTATGTACATTTACCATGCCCGACAAGAGATAATTCGTTGTCGAATCATCGTCTGCCTCTCTCTCTCTCTCTCTCTCTCTCTCTCTCTACT